CGGCTATTTAGACCGTTACCGCAGTCTGCCTTGTCAGCAAGCAAAGGGGTAGAGATTCACCAACTTGGAAAGTGTGGAAATGGGAAACATGTTTCCACTCTCATGTAAGTACATTGTGCTATGCATGTTTATAATGTTTGAATGATCTTTTAAATGTTAATCTTCTCTCCTAACAGCCGATGGCCAGGATCCAGCTGAACTCCCTGACCTGAATGATCCTCTCATCGACCATTCAGAGGGCCAACTCTTTTTGAATGAAGCCTTCAAAATCATTGTCGAGGAGGTTCTCTGCAAGGGAACAGACGTCAAGCAGAAGGTGGCCTAAAATGACAGGTGTCAGATTACAGTGAGTTCTCTGAGCAAAAACTAAAAGTCCACGTGTTCTTCCTGCAGGTCTGTGAGTGGAGAGAGCCCGAACAGCTGGCTCTGCTGCTGGATTTGGAGCTCAGGGCGGCGGGGGAGCCACAGCAGAGGCTCCTACAGAGAGTACAAGATGTGGCCAAGTACAGCATCAAGACAAGTGAGCCTGCCGGAGACAGCAGAGACATTCACATGGTTAGGAAACCTTATCTTCTGTGATGATGAGACCTGGCTTGTTTCTTCCAGGTCACCCACGTTTCTTTAATCAGCTGTTTGCAGGAGTGGACTATCATGCCCTGGCTGGACGGTTCCTCAGTGAGGCTCTCAACACTAACCTGTAAGAGTCTAAATAATATAAATGTTGGTGTTAAGTTATTGAATTATGTAAAAATACTGTACGAAATACAACTTTTTGTGTGTTAATTGCAGCTATACCTATGAGGTGGCCCCGGTGTTTGTGCTGATCGAGACTGAGGTTTTAAGATCACTGCGGCAGCTGGTTGGCTGGACAGAAGGTGATGGTATCTTCTGCCCTGGGGGGTCTACCTCTAACATGTTTGCCATGAACATCGCACGCTACCGACTTTTCCCAGAGGTCAAAAGCCAGGGTCTGTGGGCCGTCCCACGGCTTACCATCTTTACCTCTGCTGAGGTCAGGAGAAGCTGTTGAACACTGCATGCTTGAGGAGTTTGTCACTGTGGAGATTGAAACCTTATCAGAGGATCACCACTGTGTTGTCTCTACATACATCTGTTTGTTTTTCCAGAGCCATTACTCAGTGAAGAAAGGAGCTGCCTATCTGGGCATTGGGACAGATAATATCATCGTGGTGAAAGTGGATGAAGGGTAATGTACTTTGTTTTTAATAAAAAGAGCTGAAACCATTGATGATAAATCAATTAATGCTTAATTTTAAGGTAACATTCATCTCTTAGACTGTTGGTCAGATAAAATAAGCAGTTTCGAGACATGACCATGTCATAGTGAAAACACCATTAAATTCAACTTGTTAAAGAAATCAGACCTTTCTTAAGTCAATGCTGTAAAGTCACACCTCCACTGTATGACTCCACATTGAATACTGTTTGCTTGAGCCACAAACCTGAAACCCAGAGAACAGCTGTTCAAGAGAGCTATCCAGATGTTTGACAGAAAGCCACATTCATACCACCACTATAGCCTAGGATGTACCCATCCTGGAGAAACACCAGTTCTTGAATTTTGACAATTTTAAGTCTTTTAAAAGTATGTTTTTTTATATAAATGTTTACATGGACTGCCATGGACATTTAGCACAGAACTCAAGATAAAGATACCCTTATTACTTAACGTAGCTGCACATACAAGATATCTGATTAAAGCTGAGGTTCCACAGATTATTTAAATATATCTCTCTCTCTCTATCATCACTGAGTGATCCGAACTTGTGACAGGGGAAGCAAACTCAGACATCACAACACGTACCTTTACGGGAGATCGTCTCACCGTAGCTGTCAATCTGATCAAAAGCCTTGTTCATTGGCATTAAAACGAGAAAAGCCGCGGCTAAATCGGTTGATCCATCCATAGGTTGATAATGTGGCTGTAGCTTTGAAAACATTATTTATAATCCACAATTCAATTTTTAGGTAAAAATTGGAGTAAAAGTTAGCTGCTAATGGTAGCCACCAGAGTTATTGCAGCTTCCGGTTTTGGCTATGCGCCACTCTCACACACACACATGACCAAATAAGGACTATGTGGGAGTTCCCCTCGATTCCATTGGCTCTGACGGTTAGAAAAAG